GTGACGACGAACGCGAGCGGCCGCTGGAGGCGCTCGCGCCGCCGCCGCTCGAGACGCTCGCGCCGCCGCCGCCCGAGGCGCTCCCGCCGCCGCCGCCGCCGCCGCCGCCGCCGCCGCCGCCGCCGCCGCCGCCGCTCGAGCCGCCGCTCCGGCTCGAGCCGCCGCCGCCGCCGCCGGCCGAGGCCGCGGCGCTCTCGACGCCCGCGGCGCCGCTCCCGGCGGTGCCGTCCGCGGACGCGCGCGCGCCCGCGCGGCCGCGGCGCCGCGGCGCGGGCCCGCCCGCGGCGCCGCGGCGCGGCGCGGGCCCCGCGCGGCCCCCCGCGCCCCCCCGCGGGGACGCGGCGCTCGGCGCCCTCGACGCGCGCATGGCCGCCTGGCGCCGGGGCGCGGCCGAGTGGCGGGCGAGGCTCGCGGCCGTCGAGGCCGAGCACGACCGGCTCGCGGCCTTCCTCCCGGAGCTCCCCGCGGCCCACGCGCTCTTCGCGCGCGCGGAGCCCCGGGGGGCCCCGACGTAACCGGAGGCGCGAGGGACCTGTTCGCCCCCCCGACACACGCGCCGGGGATGCGAGGAGTGATGTTTAGTCGAGCGCGGGCGGGCCCGCGCGCGGCCCGCCTACGCGACGACGGCGAACTTGCGCGCGGGGAAGTTGGCGTCCTTCTTGGCCTGCTTGAGCGTCTTCTTGGACTTCTCGTCGGCCGTGAGCGCCCGTCGGAGCGCGCGCGTCTTCTTCGCGCGGAGGTCCTTGGGCACGAACTTCTTGCCGGCGTAGACCTCGCGGAGCTTGCCCTTCTGCGTCTGGTTGTAGACCGTGAGCACGCGCGCGATGGACTTGCGCACGGAGCCGATCTTCGCGAGCTTGGACGCGGCGCCGCCCGTGACCTTGGCGACGCGGAGCTGCGCGAGCTCGTTTTTTAGCTCCTCGAGCTGCTTGAGCAGCTCGCCCTTGTTCTTCGTCCGCAGCTCGTAGGCCTTGACGCGGACCATCGTGTCGACCTGCGGGGACGCGGGGCGCGTCGTCGGGCGCCGGCGCGCGGGCGGCGCGCGCGCGGCGGGGGGCGCGCGCGGCGGCGGGCCGGCCCCGCGTCGGCCGCGCCCCGCCCGCGGAGGGGGGGGGCGCCGGCCGCGCCGCGCGCGCCGCGCCGCCGGACCGCCGAGCCGCCGTAA